AAAAAAAAAAAAAACGGAATTTTTATTTTTTGCTTAAGAAACTGTAATAAAGTTTGAAGACAATAAATTAGTGTAATAGAAGTTGAAAATTTACGTAAAAGTAATGGCATTGAATGACGGATTGATAAGCTGAACATTTAGTCGGCTAACTTCTGGCAGTCCATAGACACATTTGACCACCAAACTTTCATCGCCATGCAATATGACCAACGGATTTTGACCGATACGAATTGTATTCTCAAATACTCCGGCCGATATCTTTAAACGAACAAAAGCACTGTTATTAGTTTAACGCTTTACAGGGTAATTACTGATTGAACAGTATTTATAATATACAGTTGATAAGCATATGTTGCATAGACATTTATAAGTTATAAAATTAGATAGCAAAAAACAATTTTGCTCTCTGAGGTAATTTTAGAACTTTATATTGATAAAAATCAATTCTTATGCCTACTTTTTTTTTTTCAGCATTAGTTATCGCTATTTTATACCAAAATTAACAAATGTTAAGAAAACTTAATAAATGACGTCAATTTTCAGATATTAAAGACTTTTATGTAGCAGTTTCAGCTTCTTTTTTTTTTGTCGTCTCTCTCTGTTATTTGTTTCTTCTTCTCCGTTGCTCCCCCAACCTCCTCTCCGCCTCCCCTATCGCCCGTCTGTAGGTGAACGGTAAAATAATTCAATGATTTAGAAATTTGTCTAACTAAAAGTTATGAATTATTGTTGCGTAGCGTCAAAATATAAAACCAAGTTTTTTTTTTGGTGAAAATAATAAAAGAATGATGAAAAAAAATTAAGATAGACAGAGGAAAAAGTGGCGATAAAACCAGAGAGGAGGAAAATTTAGCTTATAAGCTTAGTGGGCAACCAGTAAATTACCATTTTGGTTTCGCATGGATCATTGAATACAGCGATTTCAATGACATATTGTAACTCTCCATTGCCTTTCAGACGACATTCAGGTCGTTTATTATTACCAACAATAATCCAATCCTCGAATCGTTCATTTGGCATCAGATCACCGTTAAATGTTAGGTCAATGCGGATATACTGATTTCCACATACCGGTGATACTAAAATATTACAGCGTTAAACATTAATATCAGGATCATAGTTCAATTCCCAACAAAAATTTAATATTACTGAGATGATTTTGCTTTATCAAAAAGTTTTTGTTCAATTATTTAAGCAATAAATATTATCTTAATCTGTTGAAGTAATGTTCCATTTAAAGAAAAGTCTATAGGGTATTCACTGTTAGTAAACGAATACAGTGATCGTTAAGTAAACTTATGCACTAATATCAATTGAACAGTATTACTGTTCAGTATTCTTTATAGTTTAACAAATTATTAGCAACCTTAATAGGTAGTTTTTAACAAAGTTCTTAAAGTAAAAACAGTTAAAGAAACCAGTTATTTTTATATCATCGACCTGATTTACAATAGGTCGAAAACGATTTTGCTTCAGTTCGTTCAATGATTTTTGTTCACTGTTTTTTTTCTTTCTTGTAATTTAATCTTTTTGTTCATAAATTTAAGTAACAGTTTCAATGTTGCTTTCTCTTCTTTTTTTTTTGTCAGATACTAATAGCCAGAAAATAAAACTGTTTATAACAGTTTGAAATAACTAAATCAAAATATAGCCCAAATTGATGCTGCAATGAAAACTTGAAAACTTAACTTATTTTCAGTTTTTTTTTGTATATTCTTATTTAATGTACGATTGAACTTTAGACAAGTAAAAAGAAAAAAAATAATCAAAAATTTTTAAAAAATTTATTGGCTATTAGATCGAAAAAAAAAAATTATTTTTGGAAATCAAATGTTGCATTGACGACAAAATAAATAACCGTAAAATAATTTTAAAATGAAGAAAAAAAACCGGATTTTTCACAAAAAAAAAAAGAAGGTATTTGCAAGAAGAAAAAAGAATAATGTGCAAATATATGGTTTTAAGGTATTAAATTTTTCGCCTCTATTTTTTTTTTTGTTTTTTTGCGCTATTTTATGGAAGCAAATAGTAATTACATTTATTGTCTGATTCCAAAAGAAAAAAGATGAAAAAGAAATTCTGAGCTTAGTTTAGACGTTAAAAACCTAACAACAATAATGCGATAACTTTTTGTTTATTAGAAAGAGGGGGAAAAAAAACAAACAAAAAACAAACAATTATTGTGAATTAAATTGAATTAAAAACTGAACTTATATTTTAATAATTGTTTGCAGAAAAAAAAAAATAAGAAGACAGTTGATCGATTTAAAAATCAGCATTATTTTCTTCTTTGTTTTTTTTTTTTTTTTTTGGTAAGGTGAATGTCCTTAACTTAAAAAAAAGAAAAAGACATAGAAAGATATATTCAATTAGTTTGTCCTCAAAAAACTACAATCATATCAGTAAAGAAAAAAAAAAAAAGAAAAGAAAACAGTAAGCTATAAATTTGTTGTGCTATGAAATTTGTAATGAACAATCAAATTGAGCTTTATTCCTATTTAGTTCTCTTTATTCCACTGTAAATTTTCTGACAGAGACGGGAGGGAAGGAGAAGAGAGGGTTGAGCACTAAAAACTTTAAGTAAATTTAGAAAAAAAAAAAAAGAATAAATAATTGAGTAAAAAAATTTAAAAAATATCTTTCATAGGTTTTTCAAACTGTATTATAGTTTGCTGCAATCATTGTACATCTAAAAACCTGTCTAAAAATTAATATTGGCTAATTATCAACCGGCTACGCTATTCAGATGTTCATCATCTGATACCAGTTACTGTCTGATGTAAATAAAGGTAAAAAAACAAAATTAGTTCTTTTTTTTTTTCCAGTTTTCAAACGAGTTATAAAAGTTACATTAGTTGTAATAAAAATCTTACTATCACTTCTTGCTGCTATTATTTTTACCAAAAATATATCCCCATCCTAAAAAAAAAAAAAATTTCTAATAAATTAACAGCGATAAATGTTAAACGTTTAGCTTTATAACTAACAGATTACACGAGACTGATAATCTTCTAAAAAAAAAACAAAAACAAAAATTAGAGAACAATTTTATAACAGAACATTGAGTTACAGGTAAATTATCTACCAATATTCTCTCTTCTCTCCTCTGCCAAGTAATACCAATCGAACTAAGTTACAAATAATCAGTAAACTATTAATCTAATTGTTTACTGTTACTGTTTTGATACTGTACTGACAGTCTTCAAATAATAGCGGCTTCAGTTATACGCCCTACTGTCATTTAATTTTGTTAAAGAGGCCTACTGACCAAAAAAATTGTCATTTTAAGTTGAAATGTAAACAGAACAGAAAAAAAAAGAAGAAGAAAGCAAATAAAACAAAAAAAGAAAGAAAAAAATGTTGTATAATGAATTCCAAAAAACTTACCACTTAATTTTTGATTATTTGTTTTAAAATTTGAATCGCTTAATAAATCACTGTTAACAGTATTACTGATAACAACCGGAAGCAGTACAGTAAGAGTAGCAATACGGAGTAATTGTGGTAGGTTGACGATGACAATTGTTGGTGCCATATATCCTCCCACCCCAAACAAAATAACAACAAAACTAAACTGTTGTGACACGTTCCGTTGACTGAAGAGTCCGAAAAAATTATTATTATTATTATTATTATTATTATTTTTTTAATGCTGTTGTTTGAAAGTGGATAGAAAAGTTTTTTTTTATTTTTTTTGTGTTTCACAAATGAAAATATGCGGATAAAAAAAAAAGGAAAAAAGAAAGAATTTTAGTTTTTTAAACGAAGATTATTAAACACGACTACGGTATTCAGTGAACTGCGCCTAACACCAAGTTTATTACTGTTCGATGACTATTGCTGCCGGTCTACAAGGCCGGATAATAATTCACTGATGACGATAGTTATGGAATATTATTACTAGCACATTTTACGTTCACTCAAACTCACACAGACACCGATACCGACACACACACACACACACACACACACAGATATACCACAAAAACGTTCATGAATAAAGCTGTCTTAATTTCTTCAATCAGCATTGTTTAAATTCAATTTTTTTTTTCTTTTTGCTAATTTTAGAAAACACATATATCTGCTAAAAGATAAAAAATAAAGTAGAAAATAAAAAAACAGTGAAAGGCCTAGAAAAGTAATTTGTGTAAAATATCTATAAGTACAAAATTTTTTGCTTTTTTTTAAGATTTGCTTACAGGTTTATCAAAAAAATGAAAAAAAAATTGACAAAAGAACTACTAAATAATGAAAATGAATAAGAATTGTGAATAATAAAAGATGTTAGATGGTTGGATTCATAAAAGATACAGAATTTTTATCTGAACGTTACTGATTCATGATGACAGACCGGGATTACACCGATCAACAGTAGGCACAACAAATCGAATGGAATACCGCACCGATTATGTTATGGTATCTGATTAAGTGAAAAATTTAGATGTCATATAAAAACAGCATCTTAACAAGCAACAATATTATCTGATCAACGTTAAAAATAGCAAAAAAAAAAAAAGCATTGTATCTAAGCTAAACTATTTGTTCCTTACTCTTATGTTAAAGTTTTTTAGAAAAGAAAAAAAAATCAGGTAAATTTTGTTATTAACTGTTTGTTGCTCTTTCTTTTAAAACTTTTTCATTTTTACATCTATTAACATCTATCAATGTACCTTTTATGCGCATATTTCTCAAAAAAAAAAAAAAAAAAAAAAAAAAAAA